TTCATGCTTTCAGTGTTCAGAGGTAGTGCTCCTGTATTGTATTGAATATTCCTAATTTCCGTAAAAAATTCTACACCTGCCAATATTCGCTTTTGTACCAAGCAAATATCGCATGTTTATGTCATTTAAACTAACGTAAAAAGTAGTGATTTATTTGCGATTTCGCAATCACATTTTCACAGTACAGAGGATTGCAATTGGAGTTTACTACTTTCCATATATGTTGAAAGATGCAATGGTGTCGGCGCACATTCACTTAGAAAACCTGAAGGAGGAGCGGTCAGTATTTTTTAAAGATAATATTATACAATACAGGTGCTCGGATTTATAAAACAAATTTCTCATACGCAGGAAGACATTGATAATTGCAAAAATGTGTGGCATCGTGACGGTACAGAGCTGAAATCACTATTTACCATAATTTCACTGATAAACATTGTTGTAGAGGACATGAATATATATATATATATATATATATATATATAAAGGGCCTTACTTTGTTAACGCAATAATGTCATCCGGCTTCACCATTGGAGGGTATAGTCGTTCGTCCAATGTCTCATGATCGCAGTTTACGAATGCTGTTGACACGTGAACAACGGCCTGAAATCAAACAAAAAATTAAATATATTTGCAGCGCTGGGGATTGGCTCACAGAACAAGTTACAATATACTCACGACAAATACCTTAATAAATTATATATATATATATATATATATATATATATATATATATATATATATATATATATATATATATATATATATATATATATATATATATATATATTCTGAGGAGGTTTATTGAGGTATCTCAAGACTGCTCCGAAAAGGTCCCAGGAGAACCGCGGCCGCTGGGCAGAATGTCCGATTCAACCCTGAGCTCACAAGGGCCTTGCTCGTCACGACCCACGAGCTCTGTCTTGCTCACGCACGCGCGCGAAGAAGACCAAGAAGTTGCTTTTTTTGATCCTCTGACAACGAAGGCGACATAGTTTTAGCATGTGATGCGTCGAGGGCTTTATAGGGTGGTTCAGCCTGGATTTGAAGAGAGGTGACACTTTGGGTCACTTGTAATAAACTAAGTACGGCTGCTCTTCCTAACGAATGGCCTCTAGGGAGAACGACCAAGTGTGAGTTCGCATTATCTAAAGCCAGCCAACCGGCACCGTTCGTAATAGTAGTAATTGCTTCGGCCCTGAGGGTATACGAAATAAATAAAATATAAATAAATAAATTGTGTAGGGCAGCAACAAGCCCTTAGCCATTAGAGCACTGCGCAGTGGTTCAACTAAAACATCGCCTGTTAGATCTGCAGAGGGATAGACTTCGACTAGTGTTCTAGAAGATGGAGGCAACTCAAACTCAAATGCAGCACATAACTTGATGGAAGCAACATACGTGTCATTCATTCTCTTGAAACAAGTCTTCCGAAAGGTGAATTTCGGAACGTTCGCAATCAGTTTCTGCATTGCCCGGCCTAAGGAAATCCCATCCCAGAATGACCTCTGCCACACAAGGGGGGTAAAACAACGAATTGAATGTGGTAACGTACGTTGCCAATAAAATCTGTCTACAAGAGTGGTCGTAAACACCAAGATGCAGAAGCTCTATCACGCTGTGCGCTTCTGTCGGATCCTGTCAATACGATAGTGCCAGAAAAGGAGACAACCGACACAATTGCCCCAATTTCCTACCGCAACTTATCAGTCGACCAGCATAATTACCCGTGGATACACCGCATATTGACTCACACTGACGGTGTCAATTCATCAAATGACAGCCGCTCCAACAATCGTGCACAACACTATCTAGTTTGACGGAATACTCTTCAGACGCAGTTATGACCCTAACACTCGCCGGTGGTTGCTTGTCATTCCACACCACCTCCAAACAGAAATATTACAGAGTCTCCACGATGACCCTACTCCCGGTCACTTGGGGTTCCTGAAGACGTATAAAAAATTTAAAAATCGATCCTTTTGGCTCGGTCTCTACCGCTGTGTATTTAATTACGTCAGAAGCTGCCAGCAGGGTCAACTTCGCAAACGGCCAACTTCATCGCCCGCAGGACTGCTACAACCACTGCCTCCACTTCACATCCCATTTGAGGTTGTGGGAATAGACCTCTTGTTTCCTCTCCACTCTCCACAGCTTCGAATCGCTGGATAATAGTGGCCATCGACCACCTAACTCGCTATGTCGAGACCAAAGCACTTCCCGATGCATCAGCGGAAAAAATCGCAAAATTTCTTGCTACACCAGGCAGTCTTACGGCACGGAGCGCCTGAACACTGATAAGCAATCGAGGCCGTTCGTTCTTATCCACGACAGCACAAGCCCTACTGACAGCCTGCAATGTCACCCATCATCCCAAACATCTTATCACCCTCAAACAAACGGGCCACATGATTTTCCCCGTTCCACCTTCTTCACGGTCACGACGCCTTCTGAACACTGGACACTATCCTCCCTCCAGAACGTCGTGAAAATTCGGACGCCTTTATTAGCGACATCATCTCACGCACCGAAGCCTGCCGTCAACTGGCGCGACTCCGCACAGTAGAACAACAAGGACACGCCAAACAACGTTATGACGCACATCACCGCGACGTCCAGTACTTTCCAGGGGAGTATGTCCTCGTTGCATTTCCAAGCCGTCAAGTTGGCAGGTGCGCAAAGTTTTTCCCGCGTTACCGTGGACCCCACCGTATTATACGACAAACGTCTCCTGTCTACTCCGCGATTGAACCTCTCATCGCTCCCACAGACGGCCGTGCTTTGCAGTCCGACATCGTCCACGTGTCCCGACTCAAACCCTACGACCCTCGTCCTGACGGCCAGGATGGCCTTCCTCCAAGGGGGCAGCATATGTGAGCAGCGACGCGAACCTATAAACTGTGAATGTGCGCCAACTTCGGCGAGCTCACTGCGCGCGCGTGAGCAAGACCGAGCTCGTGGATCGTGACGAGCGAGACCTGCTTGAGCTCAGGGATGAAGTGGACATTCTGCCCAGCGGCCGGCTCTCCTGGCACCTTTTCGGGGAAGGCTTGAGATACCTCAATAAACCGTCGCACAGTATATATATATATATATATATATATATATATATATATATATATATATATATATATATATATATATATATATATATATAGCTTCTTGCTACATCACATACACCAGAGCTTCCAGAGTGCAATGCTTCATCAAAAATAGAGGAAATATAAGCTTCGCCGTCTCGACTACTCCGCGGGCTTCGATCACAGGTGGATCACGCTATATGAATCAAGCCTCTATAAACTCGACATAAATGTGAATTCTGGTAGCCGGATTCACCAGGTTCGACTAATTCTGAATAATTAGGTATCATATTTAACTTGTCGCAAATTATTTGAAAAGTGTTTGAAAAAGAAGCAACTAGAAAATATGGTATGCACGTGATCTTGCTTAGTTGACAGAAACGGGTGATTATCTCGACAGAAGTAAGATTTGGACGGAACGTGAATTTTTTAAGTCACGAATGCGCGTGCTGAAGTGCTAATGCGTAAATTAGGTTTTATGTGCAAAAAATACTCAGACATAAATTAGCGAAAAATCTTCCAACGAGAACCTGGTTATCACAAAGCAGGCCTTTACAAGTAACACTGAAAATACACAGGGGCGACATAAAGAAGTCGCCTTTCCAGAGACGTCATCAATGAAACGCTCGTAGATGACGGAGTTTCGCGTAGTCTAACGACCTGCTCAAAATGTTTTTACGCCAGCTCTCAATTTTACGCATGTCTATTTCCACAATATTAGCTCTTATTTTGGCGGTCCATAGACCCAGCATTGCGGACGAAGACAGCGACGACGTTACTGTCTGGCATAAATCCGGAAGCACGAGAATAAACAGAACCATTTCGGCTGTGGTCGGAGTCGGTCGCACATCTCTTCTGTCCTTAACATCTAACACATTACACTAAACTCCTTCCAGATACATTCTTCAGCTTTCCAAGACATTGAGTGCTTTGTTAGCGCTGGAAAGGGGGGGGGGGAGGGAAGGCTGCGGTGCGCTGAAGGCTATTGAACGCATGGGGCTGAGTGGCAAACCACCTACTAAACACTGGCTGAGCTGGTCCTAGCTTTTGACTGAGGTTGGTTCGTCGCTTTTTAATTTGTACAAGGCGCTAAGCAGTGCCAGTGGATACCGGATATTTACTTAGCCGCGAATCACACTCGCCGCGTGATCATATATGGTTACGACATAATTAGTACGACACTAAACAAGCACTTGCCAATCTTGGTGAATTCGGCTTTACGTGCTTCTCTTCGCATGAATCCAGATTTCTTACCTGTTTTCTTTTTAATTTTTTTACTACCTCGCGCGCGGAACTTATAATTAAAGTTAAAAATTTTCCGTAAGCGTAGCTTTGCCAAAAATAATTTAAGAAAAAGTCATGTGCATATAACGGCCGGAAGAAATATCTAGATTTCGCGTTGGTACGCAGGGTTCGATCGCTGTCGTCCAACATTTAATTGTTCCGGTCATCGTACGGTCTGGATATAAGAAGCTGTAGGTCGCCATTTGTATAGTCAGTCAATCGGTAGCTCAAATCCTGCTGTACAGCCGGCATGGGTGCAGTTGATGCCGGATATTTTCTTTTGATCTCGCATTGCTTTGTCACACTGAAACACTTGTATTGTCACTTTACCAGTGTAGGTATTTGTGAGAATATGTAGAGTTATTGAAAATATAGTTTTTGAATTCTTTGTTTTAGAGAAGTTGCCGTTATTCATGCACTTCATGGCATTAGTCAGAACAATGATTATATTTAAGAAGTCTCGATTGGCATTAAGTAGCATTCAGTCAAAAGCAAACATTTAATATTCATCACTAATCATTCGGTTGCGCAATATTTGTGATCAATATTATATTGAAATTAATACTATCGCTCAACTAGAAACTTCGACAAAATATGCCATTTAGATGTACTCCGAAAATGGTTCAAGTAAATATATTAATTACAACGGCCGGTGTCGTAGCTTGACATCCGCCGTTTCGAATTATGCAGACAAGCCATTTCTACGAGACCGTAAAGTACGTTTTTTTTTTCTACGAAACGAATTGAGCTCACCTTCATATTTTTCATGTTATGGCAAAGCTCCAGCACACTCTTTGTACCGTCCATGTTGATCTTCACAGCGTTTCTGAAAAACAATACACTCATTCGTACAATCTGCCGAATTTAATTTTTGAGAGATTCGTCACAGTCATAAGCAAGCCACTGGAAATAAGGATAAATATATATCAAGCAATGCAATAGACCCTATACATTTTTCACGGCGCCTTCCGGCACGTTGAGGGAAATGCCGGGCTACAAGCCTCAGAGATGACAGCCTCTTCTCCTGCATTTTGACCCAATTCAGGACGAGGAGTACAAAAATCGCGGTGACTAATGGTTTAAAAAAATATTTCTCGCCCGCTGACATTTAACAAGGTCTGTTATTGACCAGAGTACGCAGTCATTGAACATTCATTAGATTTTTTACTCTATAGAAAAAGTATTTTGAAACAAAAAAGGAGCTAAGAGACAGGTACCCAAGATTTCGGAGTTCAATATACAAGCGCACAGCTTCACGATTTCACCATACAAAGCGCTAGTGTTCGGGAGTGGTGCAGCGTGTCCCTTTCGAAATACGGCAAATTAACTTTTATAAAGGCCCTTTAAGGTGGTGCAACCTTCAGAATTGTTTCTTAGACTGCTTTTCCACGACATTTCAGAAAAAAAAAGTTGTTGCCTTATAGAATATGTGAGAAAATAATATTACGGGGCGTTGGATGCGTCTCCGACTGGTATGTTCACCGCGTTCTTAAAATGTGTCCTTCGAATTTCGCCCGATGGCGTAATAGAGGTGCCATGATTTCACCGGCCGCGGTCCTTGTGGTGTTGCAATTGCGGTGGCTGACGCGGCAGACGTCTGTTTTGCTACAGAATACTCTTCAGCTTCGCATTCAACAGGACCTTGACACGCCACGAAGTTAGACTCTACGAGGACAGCGACACTCGCTTTCTCTCCTACTTTATGCTGAGCACTTCTTTCCGCAACCGCCACGATCGCGGCATACGACAATATGACACGTTGGCTTCAGGTAGGCCATTTGTTGGCCCCACAGGACGACTTTCGATGTATTCCTGTAATGGACTCTAAACGCACCAATCAAAGACGCTTTTCAGCCGCCGTTATAAATACTAGGAACGCGAGTTGTTGACTTGCACGCTTATTAAAAGGAAAATTGACTCGGCTCACCTACCTCAAGGTGTCGTTGAATCTGACAGTTGCCGCGCAGTGAAACACAACCGACACCTCTGAAGCGAGGCTTTTGTAGTCACTGGATTTCAAGCCCAATTTTTCGTCCGTGAGGTTGCCTTCCACGCCCACAACCTTGTTCAAACTCTCTGGATACTCTTCATGCAACCGCTTGAAGCACTGAAATGGGAGATAACACAAGAATTAAGGCTCGTCGACTCAGCTGCGTCGACTCGTCCTCTGCGTTCTCTCCTTCTTGTCCGTGTGTTATTCACGCTGTTTTTCAATATTGCGCTGCTTTGCAGCACCTCCCCATGCACTCGTCCTAAGGGTCGCCATAGCAACAACATGACACAAGCAGTCGTAACGCGGTCAAATGCAGTCAAACGCAGCTGTGTGAACCAGTCCTTAAACGCACACGCACTCACAAGCCCCATTTCGAAGAACACTTATCAGCCGAGTGCACAAAGTGTTTGCCACATCAAAGAATGAAAAAAAATTCGCTTTGCTCAATCGAAAAATGTTATGGTATAATTGCCAAAAAAAAAAAAAAACACGTACAAAAAACAATTTTTTTATCTGTTTTCTTTTTGAGGACCGGGGGGGGGGGGGGAGTAATTGCAATTTTTTTCCATGGGCGGCAAGAACCCGAACACATATAAACTCCAGTACTCACGCAGTACTGATATTTCAAAAAATTCTTCACTCATCAAATTTCTGATGCCGTCGAATACGCAGTTATGGTTTTTTTTTTTAAATTTTGTTAGAACATAATTGTGCCTGGGAGACCAAACGAAAAGATTCCAATAGGGCGCTTTACTAGGTCCGGTGTCCGGTGTCCTATGGACATACAAAAAAAGTCACTGAGATCGAAAAATTTAGAGTTTAGAAATGCCTAGAGTTTCAAGGTAAAAAGTTAAATAAATAAATAAATATCCAAGAGCAATTTGTGTCAGGATGATATTTTATTATCTTAGTACATTTGGCGTTTTTCAAAGTTTAATAAATAACCTAATTTCCCAAATTTTATTTTATTTCATCTATTTGCCTCAAAGGCATCCGATGATGCATTTCATGCGGGGGCAGCAAAAAGGGAGGAATGGTGATAATACTAACCTATAAAGACAACAAAACAATTTAACAGTTTATACAAAAATTACCCAGCGATTGTTGGCTAATTTTTGTAGAAACTTTTCGCTTCTTGTTGTTTTTGTAGTGTATTCAAACACTACTAAAACCCGAAACTTCAATATTAATATACAGATGCTTCATATATTAAGCAGTACTACGATAAGCACAGCGTAATAGCAGAAACTGAATCTCCAACCTGTGGTGATTGTTTGTTTGTTTGTTGGTGTTTTATGGCGCAAGGGCAACACGAGGGCCAAATAGCGCCAAGATCCTGTTTAGCTGATTTAATATGTAGTATGTTAGTGCTTATGGGTTAAACTAATGTGCTATGTTTAGCTAATGTACAAATGGGTAATAAGGCCTAGAGAGTGTAAAGGGCTCCAAAAATTCATGTATACTAGAGAAGTGACTTGAGGCCACTTTTTTGAAGGAACGAGTGGAATCTGAGGTTCAGGACCTAACACCAAACACGGATGAAATGGAATGTTTAATCTTCTTAGTGGTGCTAAAAGTGGATTAAGGAAAGGTTGCAGCTTCCTGCAAACAAACAGATGCATTACTGTGAGGTCTGAGTCAGATATTTCGCAGGTAGGAGGTTCATTGCCCATTAAGAGATGTGAGTGTGTTAAGCGTGTATGTCCAATGCGCAGTCGTGTTAACAATACACTGTCATGACGCGAGAGGTGACAATGGTCCTGAAATTTATCTGTAGTAGGGTGAAGGGTATGGAGCTTGTTACCTTCACATTTCTTCCATTGCCGCAACCATTTTGTCGCGACACTCTTGGACATCTGACGGTGAATGTCACTTAAGGGCAAAGGCATCTGTGTTCTGTCTTCGAACGGACCTTGTCGGGCAGTTTTGTCGGCAAGCTCATTTCCAGTGATGCCACTATGCCCTGGAACCCAGAGGAACCGAACGTGTCCGCCTACTGACTGGATAGCTCGTAACAGCGTATGAATATCTACAATAAACGGGTGTTTCTTAGGCTCTATAGCACAGATGGACATAAGTGCACTTAAAGAGTCGGGACATATCAGTGATTTCTTGATACGGGACTTTCTGATGTGCTTAAGCGACGCAATAATTGCATATAATTCAGATGTGAAGACAGATGCTATTGGAGACAAGCATTTCTGGTGGTCCCAGAAACAAAGGCCGCTCCAACAGCATCGCCCATTTTAGAACCATCAGTGTAAAATGCCCGGTAGTCCTTGAACTTTTTAAGAATTTCTAAAAAACACTGTTGGTACATCAGAGGCGCAGTACATGGCGTTTGGAACTTGGTTAACCGCAGATCACAGGAAATGCTTGGGTCATATCAAGGGGGGAGTGGTGGACGAAAGGTTGAAACCTTGCTTATTGAAAACCTAGTGTCTGACAAAACTTGCTGCACACGAATTCCAAATGGTTGGGCGGCTGATGGGCGTCGAGCAAACAGCTCAGTGAAAGATGGGGCTAGGACATGAGTGTAGGCTGGATTGTCCTGGTACATTGAAATTCTACCTGCATAAAATAGACCTAGCAATTCTCTCCTAAGACATAGGGGCTGTTCATGGGCTGTTATGTATAGGCTCTCCACTGGTGATGTTCGAAAAGCTCCGGTGCACAAACGAATTGCCTGGTGGTGAACAGGATCAAGCTGTCGAATTGTGCTTTGTCTAGCCGATCCATAAACAAAGCTACCATAATCCAGTTTTGAACGCACTGTAGCCCGGTAAATATGCAGAAGAGACTCCACGTGTCCTCCCCAAGATGTGTGTGCAAGCACTTTAAGAATATTTAGTTTGTTTAGGCAGTTTTTGCGAAGATAGGCAATATGCCCTCCAAATGTCAGTTTTCGGTCAAAACTGACTCCCAGAAATTTTTGAGAGTTCTTACAAGTAAGTTGTGTACCATTTAGTGACAGTTCGGGATTGGGGTAGAGTCCACGTTTCCGCGTGAAATGTACAATGACACTTTTTTCTGCCGAGAACTGAAATCCGTTTCGAAAACACCACTTTCCCAGTTTGTTTATGCAGAGCTGGAGTTGTCGCTCGGCAACTCGCAGAGATGAAGTCCTGATAGAAATTTTAAGGTCATCGGCATATAAAGAGTGTTCGATGGGGCGAGAAATTTCACGGGAGAGTGAATTTATCTGAACCAAAAATAATGTGACACTTAAAATGCAGCCCTGGGGAACGCCCGTTTCCTGCATAAACTCGTCAGAAAGTACAGCTCCCCGGCGCACCTGAAAAGTGCGATCTGTTAAGAAGTTCTTAATGAACACCATCATGTTACCATTAAAACCCATTGACACCAGGTTACTAAGAATACCATGCCTCCATGTGGTATCATATGCCTTAGCAAGATCGAAGAAAACTGCCACCAGATGTTCACGCCTCACAAAGGCCGAGCGAACCTCCATCTCCAGACACACAAGATGATCGAGGGTGGAGCGGTTTTTTGCGGAAACCACACTGAGCTCGTGACAGTAAGTTTTTTGCCTTTAGGCAAAAAACAAGCCTTGAATTTATCATACGTTCCAGCACCTTGCAGAGGCAGCTGGTGAGAGCTATTGGTCTGTAGTTCTGAGGATTTGTGTGATCTTTGCCTGGCTTTGAAATGGCTATAACGACTGCTTTCCTCCAGGATGTTGGGAACATCCCCGTTTCCCATATTTTGTTATAGAACTTCAGAAGGGCAAGTTTGGAATCATGGGATAAGTTAGCAATCATTTTATAATGTATGTTGTCTAAGCCAACTGCAGAATTCCGGCAATGCAGGGTCGATAGCTCCAGCTCTCGAAAAGATAAAGGTTTGTTGTAAGGTTCCTCGCTACTGAGTTTTAATGGCAGTGGTTTTCTCTCTACTTGCGTGCCATAAGCTAGAAAAGGTTTTCGGTATGAAGACTTGCTGGATACTACTGAAAAAGTATGTCCCAGCAGATTTGCCTGGTCTATGGGAGAGCACACTTGAACTGTTCCATCTTTGAGAATAGAGAGTCGGGTATCATTATATAAGCCCTCCACCTTCCGGACTTCGTCCCAGATTTCTTTTGTTGATGTGTCCTGGGTAACCTCCGAGGTGTACTTGCACCAGGAGTTTTTCTTCTGGCTTCTGATTATGCGGCGGAGCTCAGCTTTGGTTCTTCTAAGGGCGATCAACCACTCAGAAGTGGGATACCTCTTGAACTTTCCCCAATACTTATTTTTATTTTTCTTGGCTTCTGTGCATTCTGGAGACCACGATGATCTTGGGTATTTTGAAAACCGTGATGATGCTTTTGGAATTGAAACTGTTGCTGCGTCAATTATGACAGTCGTCAAAGCAGACGTGGCCTCATCGATATTAAGTGCGGTGAAACCATCCTCGGGAATCTGGGCCTGTTCACTGAATTTCGTCCAGTCTGCCTTCTCAATGACCCACCGAGGCACTCTTTTCGTAACACAAGGAGTAGCGCACGAGTGTTGGATGACAATGGGAAAGTGATCACTGTTATATGGATTGTGGTGAACACGCCAGGAGAATTTCGTAAAAAGAGAAGCTGAACAAAATTATAAGTCTATGGCAAAGTATTGTACAGGTAAGCTTAGGGTAATATGCGTAGGAGACTTGTCATTTAAAAGATTCAGTGAATTTTTGAGCAAAACGTTCTCCACCACTTTGCCTCTAGAGTCATCCAATTGACTTCCCCGTAGTCTATTGTGAGCATTGAAGTCTCCAAGAAGCAGGTAAGGGCTTGGGAGTTCATTTACAAGCTGTTTTAGCTCTGTCAACGTGATCTGTTCATTAGGTGGAAGATAAAGAGAGCATACAGTTACCGTGATACCGATGTAAATACGTGCAGCAACTGCTTCCAAGTTTGAGGTTAAAGGAATCTGCTCTGAAGGACACGATGGCTGCACAATGAGAGCCACTCCTCCACCTCTCACATCCAGAGGACGGTCTTTACGACATACTGCGCATCTGGCAAATCTGAACGAGGCCGACTCGGAAAGGAAGGTTTCCTGAAGACAGGTCACCTCTGGGTCTAGGGCCCGCATCAGATCCTTTAAATCTTCAATGTTTGAGCGTGCTCCTCTGCAGTTCCACTGCACAATATTCACTGGCATTATTCTAGGGCGGTCCTGTTATGCGAGGGCTCTGTTTCTTTTTTGGTTGCTTGTCAACTCCCATAGGGGTAGCCTGGTCTGCAGGATCAGTGCAGGATTCAGCCATCCCTCCTTGTACACCAGGGGCTTCATGATGCGAGCAGGATGCACCACGATTACACTCGGATGCATCCAGAGCATTTGATTAAGGTGTACTATGTTGTTTTTCATGT